AGTGCAGGCTTTTTTTAACTAGATGCACTGCCAGGGGAGAGATAGCCCGCGTGCGTCTCTTCAACCTGGGGCATCATTGTGTACCCCTGTGCCTTCGCACCAACGATAGTCGAATATACTGACGTCGCAGGCACAAAGACAAGAGAGAAATAAGGTTTATTCAATAATCCGTCATGGAGATCTTGAAAAAAGGGGAGGGACCGTCTTTCTGGGGTTTCCCCTTGGCCACCTGACAGAAATCTGTCGTCAAACTTGGATTGTCTGGGGGTCTCTTGTTCCTGTGGCCAGTCTTAATTAAGTTTCTTTAAGAAAGTTCTGGAGGAGCACGTTCAAATGATCAATCCAATTCAATTTGTCATCAGCAGTTACCATGTCTATCCCATCAGCATGAGAGGAAGCCTATATATTTACACTTTAGACTCACCTACATTCCATTCTCAGCATCCCTCCACGACTCCTCACTCTTGGTTTGCTCTACCACTGCAAGGAATACAAGGCCAGTACTCTGGGTTCGGGCCAAATACCGAGCTCGGAGCCCTCTCCTTGGACAGCACGCCAAATACGCATATCATTTTCCATCTGACTTCTTTGATGTATCAGCAGCCATATCACCCTGTAGCCCAAGACTGGTTGCCCACTAAAGCTAAGCAGGGCTGAGCCTGGTTAGTACCTGGATGGGAGACCTCCTGAGAAAACCAGGTTGCTGCTGGAAGAGGTGTTAGTGAGGCCAGCAGGGAGTGCTCACCCTGTGGTCTGTGTGGGTCCGAACGCCCCAGTATAGTGACGGGGACACTATACTGTCTAAGAGCACCGAGCACCATCTCACTGTCATGAGACGTTAAACCGAGGTCCTGACTCTCTGTAGTCATTTAAAATCCCAGAATGTCCTTCGAAAAAGAGTAGGGGTATAACCCCGGCATCCTGGCCAAATTTGTCCCTTGGCCTTTGTCCATCATGTAGAGGTCTTCTCGGGTCCTAAAAACTGTACCCGACCCGAATCACTACTTACCCGAACCCGACGTACATAAATATATTTTTTTAAAGAAAAACCCCTTCCCGAGACAGACCCTATAAAATTAGAACCGAGTCCGACCCGACCTGACGCCATTTCCTTTAGAACTCTACTGGACCCGATTCCCGAACGTAAACGGCATTTACATTGTGCACAGCCTGCAGCCCTGCGTTTCTCAAAAATGCACTTAACAAGTGTAAGCGCGCTGAAGTGCTAAAATGTCAATCACACATCATAACCCATTACGTCCTATAACATTTGGCATAATGTTATTTACCGGACCATACGATGATTAGAACCACCATTCGTTTTCCCTCACCTTTTTCGCAATGTCTGTTATCCCCTTCATGCTTTTCTGACAGTGTCGCATATTTTTAAAATTGATTGACAGGCCTGGCTTAACGACAATTCAAATACTTGCATTTAGTCAAACATCCATCCACATGATGGCGCACTAGTTCTTCTTGGCAAAGGGAGGGGTTGGTTTATGTGGAGCGAGCAACTGAGTAAATAAATGCGGAGGCAACCGCATGCTTATGCTTATAGCCCATTTAGAAAAAGTGAGAGAACGGTGTCATAGAGTTGTTTTAAATTGCAATTAAATAGCAATTTTGTTAAATGCCCAACATAGTTTAAAAGAATTCGGGTCTTCTCGGGTCCATTTGGAAAAGGCATATTTATTTTAAATTACCTGAGACCCGAGGCCACTAATACCGAACCCGACCGAACCCGACCCATGTCCGAGACACTCGTCGGAGTTTTGGACCCGAACCCGCTCGGGTTTCGGGTCGGACCTCGGGTTTTCGGATCCAAGTGGACCCGTGAAGACCTCTACCATCATGGCCTCCTAATCATTCCCATATACTGATTGGCTTCATCACTATCTCTGCACCAGTAAGCTGGTGTGTGGTGGGCGTTCTGGCGCAATATGGCTGCCGTCGCATCATCCAGGTGGATGCTGCACATTGGTGGTGGTTGAGGAGATCCCCCCCCCCCCCCCCCCCCCCCCCCTTAAACTTTAATTATAAAGCTCATTGTGGTGAGCAGGACGGCCGAGGGACGTGAGAGAACGCCGCGAGGCCGGTGGTGCGATTGCTAATGAGCAGCACCTGGGAAGCACACCGGTCTCGCATCTCTCACGGAGGAGCGGAAGCATAAAGGAGGAGCGACGGAGTGGATGATCGAGAGAGGAACAGGCCTGCTTTTGTTTGTGGTTTATTTTATTTTATTTTGGTAGCCAGCAGTCGTCCGCGAGGGGCTGCTGGCAGGTAGTTATATTTTATTTTGGGTATCCAGCAGTTCCGTGAGGGACTGCTGGCAGGTATTGTGTTTATTTCATTTAAATAAAGTTTTAATTTGATTGTCCGCCGGTTCCCGCCTCCTTCTTCCCTGAACATTGCTACACTGGTGCCGAAACCGGGGAAGAGGGAGGAACGCGCTGTCCGAGGGTCCTCGCCGTTGTGGTGAATCCACGGTGCCATCAAGCATGGTGCGCGAGTCGCCGCCGCTCGCCGTGGGCCGGAGATTGCTGCCGAGGGGAGGAGCAGGGAGCGGGGGACTCGCGGCCATGGACCCTCGAGGCGGGGCGCTGGGGTGAGTTGCCGGTGGGACGCCCGAGCTCGCCGCCGACCGCCTGGGAATGGAGGGGCGGCTGCCTTCCGGGAGGGAGAGGAGGAGTCACCGCCGCTTGCCGTGGGCCGGAGCCTGCTGCCATCCGCCAGTGAAGGGGAGGAGCAGGGAGCGGGGGACTCCTGCCGTCTGCCCAAGGCACCCGAGGAGCCGTCGCCGTCCACCAGGGGCGGGGCAGCGTCGAGGCGTCCAACGAGGGCCATCCAGCGTCGCCGCCGGGCACCGCGGAGGAGATCGCCCAGCTGGTGAGGGACAAGATGGCAGCGCGTTGTGGGAGCCGGACCAATTTTTTTTTTCTTTCCTCTCTCCCCTCTCTCGTGTCCGTCGCTCCTCGTGCTTCCGTCTCCGTTTCCCTCGGCTCGTCGGTCCATATCCCCCAGGGATCGCCGCCGGGGGGAGGGAGTAGGCACAGCCCGGGTGTACCCCCCGGCCTGTGAGGGGTGATGGGGGTATGTGGTGAGCAGGACGGCCGAGGGACGTGAGAGAACGTCGCGAGGCCGGTGGTGCGATTGCTAATGAGCAGCACCTGGGAAGCACACCGGTCTCGCATCTCTCACGGAGGAGCGGAAGCATAAAGGAGGAGCAACGGAGTGGATGATCGAGAGAGGAACAGGCCTGCTTTTGTTTGTGTTTTATTTTATTTTATTTTGGTAGCCAGCAGTCCTCCGTGAGGGGCTGCTGGCATGTAGTTATATTTTATTTTGGGTAGCCAGCAGTTCCGTGAGGGACTGCTGGCAGGTATTGTGTTTATTTCATTTAAATAAAGTTTTAATTTGATTGTCCGCCGGTTCCCGCCTCCTTCTTCCCTGAACATTGCTACACTCATCGTACAATCTGTCGTGAGAAGTGGAGCGCTCAGAGGCAGCACACTCAAAATCCAGCTCGCTTTTGTCTGATATATGTGAGCCTGGAGGGGAGCACTTTGATGGCAAACGTCTCGCAGTGCTTACACTCCGAGTCCTCGAAGGCTGATAGAGCATGTCTTTCCCCAGACATTCGAGACAAAATAGATGCGAATCGTCATCCGAAATGGACCGTGAGCAGGGCGGCACGGATTTCTTAGACTCTCTCGACACGACTTTTTTTCAACTCTTTTCTTTTGTGAGAGAGAAAGAAGAAGAGAGTGAAAAAATTCCTGCCTGACAAAACTGACTCCTGACTAGGAGATAACTGAGAAATTTTTGATTGCACACACGAACACAATGCGGTTCTGAAGATAAAGAAAACTGATGAGCGCACCTGTCACACATCTATTCATAGCGCATTCCGATTACGTCATCATCAGAGGTCATTTAAGCCAAAATCTTTGGCGTGTTTGCCATACTTGTTCACAACCATATCGTACCGAACCGTTTCCCCCATAGCGCTCTTCGCGCAGTATTAAGAGCTTTTGAAAGGGAACTGTGGCCCTGTGGGTTATGATTTGTTTGGTTTACATCATACATCATGTCTCATGTTTTATCTCAAGCATGCTTTTTACTCACATGTCTCCTTGGTGACCAGAACACAAAGTGGTAATTCTTGTGAAAATCAAATCTTCACAAAAATAAATACTGACATGTTTATGGTTGTGATTATTTATCTGTTTGACTGGATTTTTCATTAGCTATACAGTTTTGTATAACTAATTTATTTCTGATGGAATTACATAACAGGGCAAAGCAATTTAATCAGTGTACATAAAAGGTATTTGAAAAGTATTAAAAGTAAATTTTATTAAAAATCTGGATATACATTTATCTTGGTGTGTGTGTGTGTGTGTGTGTGTGTGTACTACCTTTCCCTGTTCATTTCAAAACACAGTTTGGTTGTTTTGAGCTTTCAAAATTAAGAACAGACACAAAAGACTATTAGTTAGATCTTCAAAACTTTATTTAAATACAGAAGTGGCATTTACGCATTTGTATTGCTTTGTTAATTAAGATTATCTGGTCGCTCACAATATAAGTAAAGTGTGGCTTATACACAGCCGTTCAAAAGCATGGGGTCAGTAAGATTTTGTTTCTTCATGTTTTTAAAGAAGTCTCTGATCAAGGCTGCATTTATTTGATAAAAAGTCCAGTCAAAAGTGTTATATTGTGATATATTATTACCATTTAAAATAACTGTTTTAATAAATTGTCAAATGTCATTTATTCCTGTGATGCAAAGCTGAATTTTCAGCATCATTACTCCAGTCTTCAGTGTCACATGATCCTTCAGAAATCATTCTAATATGATTATTTGCTGCTCAAGAAACATTTCTGATTATTATCAGTGTGAAACAGTTGTGCTGCTTTTTTGTGGAAAACAAGATAGGATTGAAATACATCGATGAATTGAAATACATTTTACTAACCCCAAACCTTTATACTGTACTGTTTAAATAGTTTATACTTTTAAGCGTAACCAAATCTTGTAATCAGAAAAACCTGAGAATTATGCCTCTGTCTTTAAGAAAACAGATAGAAGGAGAAAATAAGAGGAATGATGGACGATGTGAGAGAAAGGGAAAATAAGAGGCGACTGTGTGAGCCCGAGCTGGATTCAAGGGAAGTGAATGAGACAAATCCAGGTTGGTCGCTGCTTATCTGAGAGCTGATCCAAGACTGGTATTGAGACACTCTGGTGTACACGCCAGGATACTTGGGTTGTGCACATCCTTGACCAAAACTCACAACTCCAGACTGAATCCACTGGGAGTCGTTCTTACTGACCATTGGACCTCCAGAGTCTCCCTGCATTGATAAACACTTAATGTTAATATCTCTTGACAGTATATACAGACAGTGAGTGATATCTGACATGAAACTGATATACCTGACATGAATCTTTGCCACCCTCATTTACTCCAGCACATAGCATGTTGCTTGTTATGCTGCCTCGGTAGGCTGTATTACAAACACTGTTGCTCACAATTGGTATCTGCACCTCTTGCAGTGTGTTTGGAATAGAGGTGTCTATAACATAAACCAGTGGAAATTTTCTTGTGACACATTATTCAAAGTTTTGAATCGTTGACGTGTTGAACTCACCTCCAGAATTGAGTTTGCCCCATCCAGTGATCCAACTCCCTGTACCTGCAGCAAATACGCTACCAGCAGCCGCCAGACAAACTGGCCTGATATAATCAGAGAATGTCACAGAAGAGGAGAGCTGGAGCAGTGCTAAGTCATTGTTTTGGGTAGATGTGCTATAGCTGGGATGAGTGATGATCCGAGTCACTGTCTTGGAGACCTCATAAGGGTTTGAGCCCGATTGGAGCTGGCGTCCCAGATAGATTTTTACATTAGATTCGGTGATGCTGGTAATAGAAAACATAAAACAGTTTTAATTCCTCTATCTATCTACTTATGAAGTGTAATATAATACATACCTCTGGAAACAGTGAGCTGCAGACAAAACCCAGTCTTTATTGATTAGACTCCCGCCACAAAAATGGCTTGCAGTTGAAATTCGATGAAGACTTGCCTGCCAGGGCCAAGACCCCACAACGGCATTTTCTCCTCCAACAATCTTGGTGTTGCGGGGGGCTTGACCACACACTAAAGAGAGAAAAGAAGATTGTTGGAGTTAAATCCCCTGAGATCAACAAATCATGATCCAATTAATTAAACATGCAGGTTTTTTTGGTCATTAAGAGTGTAGAATCTTACCGTCTAACTGGCAAAGTGAGCCTATAATAAGACAAAACAAAGATATAACAAATATGTAGAGTTCCTAAACAGGTTTGAGACTTAGGAATGAAAAGTTATCTGTGTGTTACTTTTCTTGACAGTGCATGTATTTCAGTCAGAACTGGTTTGCACAGAGATTATGCAAATGTATGCTGACCAAACTGAAAAACTGGTTGTTTGAGTAGTTTCCTTTTCTTTCAACATTGTCAAAGAATTTCAACATTGTCCAAACTGTATGACAGACAGAGTCTTTTACAGGTTACTCGGAACAATTTTGTGAACTGAATAAAGTGATTTTTTTCAAGTGATCCGCAAAAGAATGATTTGTTCTTAAGTTGGGGAGATAGCTAAGAAGAGCGATGTTAAGTTTATTTTAGAGAATAAACTTTTCGTTTTCATTTGACGACAGAAAATCATTTTCATGATTTATCAAATTTTTTCTTTTGTCAAATAAAGTTAGATAATTAATGTTCTTCAGATAACAATATTTGGAGTTTCTGTTGATTAAACCAATCTCTTTCTTTGTTTTAAAAGTTTGTTTGTTTTTACAATCGCTATTTCTCAATATAGGGTCTCCTTTTCAAAACTCATAACAGCAGTCTCACTTTGACACAAACACCACCAAAGCATTACAATCCAATTTGCACATTTCCATACCCCTTTCAAAACTGTTCAACTTAAGTTCAAAACCTAACACAACTCAAAAATTAAGACAGAAATTTGCAACATTTCTACAGTAATACCATATTATTTACTATTTCATTACTATATAAGTTTCATTACCATCCATTCTAAAGGGGAACGCTTATGAATAATTTTGTACTGTAAACATGGACGATGTAACATAAACTGGAGTGAATTATAAGCAGTAGAGAGTGTCATTCTTGTTTGGTAAAGAAATTTTACAAAAGAAAACACTGAACTCAATATTTTAGGGCAACCGTGTAACTTAAGTTAACCAACAACAAATTTTTTTCAGTGAGTGACATATTTAGCTTGAGTAGTAGAGTTTTTACAACATAAAAACTATCTTTACCATGAAAACTGTTATTATTTTGTGATTATAGACTCACAAACACCTGCTTTCATTCTATTAAACGTAACAATTGAGACAGTTTGTTGCATTTTAGTTTGGCAGTCAACACTTAACAATTACAGGCAATTTCTTTTTAAAATGTATGTCATCAGAAATAATAAAGTGTGTTTATGATATTGAATAAATTTAGACATTAAAATAAATTCATGCTACGAAAAATAATTCTAACTGTTCATATATAATTCTATTTACTTGTAATATTGTCATGTTATTCCTCTACTAGTTTTTAACAAAGAGAACATTTGTTTGGTAGGATATTAATTTAAGGTGTTACAAAGAAAATAATAAATGTGTTCTACATAATTTAAACAATTTTACAATTAAACAAGGTTATTTTAAGATCTGGCCTGTTATTCATGATTTTAGATCTTACCTGCTATGTTGAGAAGTATGGCCACTGAAACACACACAGCTTGACCCAATGTCATCCTCATGTTCTTGTCTGTTTCTTTTACTGAGAGTAGACACTGAGTGTCTAATGACACGTAAAACAAGTGCTGCCACATTCAATGGGACCCTACGTTTATTTACCTCTGACACACCTTGTTTTCAATTCTAGCCAGTGTTTTTGTAGCTACACACCCTGTAGCTCACCTGAATACTTCTATAATGCTTCTAATTGGAGTTGCTACTAAGTTGCAAAATGCATTTTGACACATACTTCCATTTGCTACTTACTAATTTTATAAACTTATGGCAATCGCATGTTCTTAATTAACACATTTTGGTGAAATAGTTGGCACACTTTTTACTCCAGTCAATAACAGCCTATTGGTGGCCAGGTATAATGAAAGTTTACGGAAGCTTGTTGACATTTTTTCTCTAAATTGTGAGATTAAAAAAAATACCTTTATCACCAATTACCTTTTTCATTTTTTTTTATTCCGTGGCGGAAACAAGTTTCCATAACTATGCGAGTGGTTGAGTATATATTGTGGATATTATGTTTACACTAGATGGCATCAGTCTCTTGCAGGAAATCATTGCAACCCCCTTCCCCAAATGACGCTTGTCTGTTAAGTCCAAAAGAGCGTAGGGTGTCCCGTTTGTCATTTTGGCACTCCTCTATGGGTCAATATCACCAGAGTGCCTTTCAACCCTCACAATACTCACACATTTTGATTTTAATTTACTATTTGCTTTATGTCATGTCATAATAGTAGACACTCAAATACTATAATAAATATATTATCTGAGCTCCCACAATTTTTTTTTTTAATTATGGGCCATTTTTTAGAGCATAAAGCATAGATATGTCCACCCTGTCGTGGACATAAATTACTGTTAAATATGTTTTCATTGCATTATTAAGATGCAAATGATACTTTCTGAAAGGTATGATGTCCCTTTCCTAAACAGGGTTATTTGTTTGCTTTAAAATTATAAATACATAAAAGATTTAATGTAAATCATGTGTTTTTAAAGAAACTCATACAATTCGCACATGTATTTTTTCTTATTTGGAGAAATATTTGATTATTTGGATGCAGTTTTTTGTTTGCATGTTATTGCCCCCACACCTAGCACAATGAATTATATAGGTATGATTAAATTTTTGTTTTTTAAATATTATTTAAAAATATCAAGATGACAGGGTGGACGAGCCCACAACAGGGTGGACGAGCCCACGACAGGGTGGACAAGCACACGATGGAGTGGACACATAAAGCAGAACACAAAAAGCATGACAAAATATGACAATGAAACATTTATCCAACTTAAAAAATATATAATTACATTCTCAATCACATTGATATAACTGAGAATTTAGAATGGCCTCTCTGGTTGAGATGAAAAAGGCAGGGAGTTCAAAAACCTGCCCATCTTTTCAGCAAAATGTAAACATAAGGAAAATTATAATAACAAAACATGACAAGGCAAGTACATTAAATGTAACAATTAGTTTTTTATTTGTGGCCAAGAAATATTGCAGTAAATAAATTCTGTCAATTTGTAACATTTACAACACGTGGAACAACTTGCCCCAAACTGGCACTTTCTGCCGCAATTTCTGCCGCACTCAGAGGCATGTCCTGAGAACAGCAATGATTTTATGTTTATTATATAACAAAATATTATCTTGTTATATTATATTATATTATATGTTTCCATAAAATGTAATATAACATTTCTATAAATTGCAATATTAACTACAAATGAATGCTATGTCCACCCTGTCATGTGTATGTCCACCCTATCGAATCTAAGTGGCCGACAGGGTGGACATTTTGGAACAACGACAGGGTGGACATTTTGAGCTTCAATTAGCATATTAGCTTACAACAAACTGTGACTAGGTAAATAGTTAATCTGGTTGTTGAAGAGAATTTGGTATATTAAAACGTACATACTTGGAAATTATTGTATTTCAATCACTTCCAGTATATTTTATGCCGACAGGGTGGACATGTTAAGCTTTGGCAAAACAAGTAAACTCATATGAAGAAAATTTGTTAGTTGAAAAATCAGCAGCTACTCACCTCAGCAGTTGAATTTCCTGCCACTATAGAGATACAAAAATCTGTTGTCCTAATGTTACTAATGGGGGTGGCCTATTCTTAAAGGGGGCAGATTCCACAATACGACAGGGTGGACAACCATTTAAGGGACATGGACAAACTCTTCTTTTTTATTAAATAAAAATATTGTTTTTATTATAAACTGATCAATACACTCAATTTGAGTAATATCTTATTAAACAAAATATTAATAGGAAAAAATAAATAAAAAATAAATATGATTTGACTATTTTACTCTCATTCAAATTTTATGAGCAGTGCCTGGGACATAGCAAAATAGCATACATCCTCTTATACAAAACTATAGAAAATCTTGAAAATGTATCTAAAGAGCCAAATAATGCTACTGCTATGAATAAAACAACTTAGCCTTATATAACACACCCTTTCATAGTCATTTGTATGTTAAGTTATAATAGAAAATTAGTTATTTATGTTCAGGACACCAAAAGGCACCCTACAGTGATATTGACCCACATGGTGTAGGCCTAACTATAGTCATTTAGGCTATGTAACAGAGAAAATTGCATTTAAAAATTCAATAATAATATTGTAATAACTGGAAATTATTCCATAGCACGTGAGTTAAGTTATGCTATTACATTTGTACTATTGTAATTACTAGTACGAAATATGAACTCTCGTATCCCATACACCGCACGATCATGAATAGTTCTGCAGGTGGAGCATTAATAAATCTAAACCAAAAGAAGGCAGGAATGTTGATGATCTCCTCTACTTATTTTGAGCACAGAATGGATAGCCCACAAAATCAAGGCCCTATCGCCAAGTGACTCCCTTACACATCTCTCTCCATGACGGTTAGAGACACATTTTTACATAACAAGGCAGTAAATGAACCAAGAACACCTGACCTAACTTGAACATAAACACACATAACTTTACTATCACAAAAACTCAACGATCTTGCTGTAATAACAAATAAATAAACTCCCAACAAACAATTACCCATAATGCACCCAGGTGCTAGCGCTGACTGCCAGGTCATTACAATATTAAACCAAAAAAAATACAGTTTAGTATCATATGACATCCCCTTCAACCAATAAAATTAAAATCTATTAGCCATGTGCTTGAAATTTTTGCCAACAAGGAAGTGAATGAATGAGACAATAGCCCATGTTAGGTCACATGCTGTCAAGGCTCCATTGGGACCTCATTTTAGACAAGGAAACACAGATAAATTAAATTGAAAAAAAAAAAATCAAGACCCCAACTCCTTAACAGGCTATTGTTTGGTATCTTTCCAGAATCTTTTAATTTAAACACATTGCAGGCTGACAGTGTGGCAACTCTACTGGCTAGGCGACTTATTCTTATGATTTGAAAGCAAGCAGCTCCCCCTCCTTACCCCCCAATGGACCTTTTATTTGCTCTCAAGATGGAAAAGATTCGGTTAGCAACAAAACAAAAGCCAAAACTTATTCTGAAAGTAATAAATAGTAAAAATAGTAGTAAAAATAATAGTAAAAAATAAGGTCGTAGTAAGAAAGGAAGAAGTTGAACATCAGGGAGAAAAGAAGCAGTCAGGGCTGTCCTTAAGGCGGTGCAACCGGTGTGACCACACTGGGTCTCATGCTTGGACGGACCAGGGAGCTATAGTGATGGCAGAGAGGAAGAATATACATCATAGATTGTTGTTGAAGTAAGGCATTTGGGTATATTATCCTATTCCAGTTTGGAAAGTGTGATCCATACTACAACCAGAGGTCAGGAAAGAAGCCACTGACTATTGGCCTCACTACACTGACAAACAAATGCTCCAAAAATGATGACTAAACTGGTCGAAATTGAGTTACATGTGGAAAGTGTGGGCTACACTGAAAAAGAAGAGTCTTGTTGATTTTCAGTTGTGCTACAATAATTGATATGCAATTCCAAGAAAGAAACAATGTTAAAAGTTTTTTTTTTTTTTTTTTACTTTAAAATGAAACTACTGATTAATTAAACAGACTTTCACAACTTTCCAGGAAGTGAAATTGCATCTGAATTTCTGCGATGTTCTCCGCGAACATCGTTCTAAACTCAGGGGTCCAGAGAGGAAGTGGCGCAAATCGAAAGATCCTACAGACCTTGGTCTTTATCAATCCCTCCTCACTTCCTTCTCTTCTAATATCTCTACTGCTAAAATGACATACTATCACAACAAAATTAACAATTCTTCTGACTCTCGGATGCTTTTCAAAACCTTGTCCTCTCTTCTTAACCCTCCTCCTCCTCCTTCATCAACCCAAACAGCTGACGATTTTGCCACATTCTTCATAGATAAAACAACTACCATCAACGGCCAATTTACCAATCCACAAACTGACACACACTTTTTACCAGCAAACGCACACATTCTACCACATTCTGGGGTGGTGATGGCGCAGGGGATAAGACACATGCCTTTGGTGTGAGAGACCCGGGTTCGAATCCACTGCGAGACACCAATGTGTCCCTGAGCAAGACACTTAACCCCTAGTTGCTCCAGAGATGTGCGACCTCTGACATAATAGCAATTGTAAGTCGCTTTGGATAAAAGCGTCAGCTAAATTAATAAATGTAAATGTTCTACCATCCTTCTCTCTACTTTCAGAGGCAGAAGTCTCCAAATTCCTCCTTTCCAATTGCCCTACCACCTGTCCGCTTGATCCTATTCCCACTAATCTACTTCAAGCCATTTCTTCCTCAATTGTACCTACACTCACGCACATCATACACACTGGTACCTTTCCCACAGCTTTTAAGCAGGCTCGGGTAACCCCACTGCTTAAGAAACCCACTCTAAATCCAGCACATCTGCAAAATTACAGACCGTTATCCCTTCTTCCATTCGTTGCGAAAACACTTGAACGAGTTGTTTTCAACCAGATCTCTTCCTTTCTTACACAGAACAACCTCTTGGACAACAATCAGTCTGGTTTCAAAAGCAGACACTCAACTGAGACTGCCCTGCTCTCGGTTATTGAAGCTCTGAGACTGGCAAAAGCAGCT